TGTAAAAATAAATCTCAAAATAATCTACCTACACAAATTTATTGTCACCCACCTTATAAGTCCAAAGGGCACAGGCAATTTTTCCAATATATCAATGTTTACGGACTCCAATTTCTTTGTAAGATGCATCGCTGCATAAAATCCGGCCGGTCCAGCACCCACAATACACACTTGAGGGCGACTTCGATACGTCGAAGTACTAAGAGCCCTCTTTAGCAACTTATAAGTCATTTTTGGTTTGATTTTAGATATTTTCTTGAGAGAACAAAATCTTCAAACTTCGGGCACAGACTATTATGATTTGAAATTTAAATGAGCGAACTGTGGGACGAATTATAATTCATAAGTATTATATGCACATATCAATTGATTTCTTGAATGTTTACATTATATTTTTGAACGTTTTTTGCAACTCTGCAGTTCAAACACTTGTTTTGAAATAGATTTTAAAAAAGTAAAGATACATCAGATTATTTATTTTATTTTTAATGATATTTTCTATCCTTGAAATTTCACTTCGACTTTATTGGATTGAAATTAGTGAAAGTCTCAATTTTATAGTTGATTTTGAGATTTTGGAAAAACTAAAATCAACAAGTCGTTCAACGTCAACGTCTGTACTCTGTATGATGATTTGTCGTTTGACAGCTTGTTTCAGTCAATGTCATAACTGTAAAGCTACCTATAAGCTGTCCGATATACCAATGCTGATTCCGATCCAAACCCTTTTTTCAACGTCCTTGCATTTACCATTATTGCTGCACTCATTCATTCATTCAATCAGTCAGTTTTTTTATTAGGGCAACTTTCCTTACAATTTACAGGGTATTTCACTATTGGCAACTCATTTAACAAATAGCAGTCTAGCTGTTGCTAGCTGTCATTGTCATGAGTATCATTCATCTCCATTCCGTAACAAAAAAAAGCTTGGCATTTCTTTTCTTTCTTCAGCTATAGCATCACATACAAATCATACAATTCCTGATTTAAAAATTCCGTGTTAAAATCTATGCGAGGATGTCGCATGTAATGGAAGTGAAACACCTATTTAGTAGGTTGTTTTCTATGAAAAATGGGTAAGTTTTATTGTTTTTCGGCGTCGCCATAAAGTATGTAGTATCAGTAAGATTTAACTCATAAAATTTTCAGTGGTTTGTGATGATAAATGTACTGTTCTCTAACGATCTTTATTACTAACAGCAATTAATTGCATTAATAAAGAAACGTTATTTATTTTAATAGGTTGAGCGCGAATAGATGGGCTATAAGAAACTATACCCAGGACATCGAGATATCGGCAGCTGCAGTGAACAGAGGCAATGTCACCCCTTTGCCGCCATTGTCTGAGCCCATGCCAAACTTGCCGCCAGTGGCTTACGCTTCAGCTGAGACTGATGATGCTCTAACAGAAGTCACTGTGCTTAGCAATGGATTGAGAGTGGCATCAGAGAAAAAGTTTGGACAATTTTGTACCGCTGGTGGTAAGTACTTTTAATTTACTGTGAGTTTGCCATGCCATAGGATCAGGGTACACTTTTTTTTCATTTTATTAAAGTAATATTGCATCATTGTTTCAGTGGTAATTGATTCTGGTCCAAGATATGAAGTGGCTTACCCTAATGGTATTTGTCATTTTCTTGAAAAACTGAGCTTTGGTGTAAGTATGAAATGACTATTTTTTTGTTATGTATTTGACACTACATTAATGACAATAAATTGTGACTTAACTTCTTAGGAATGTGAAATCTTAAAAGTTTGATATCTATCTTATTTTGTTTTATTGATTAAACACAGGCCACACATAAATATGCCACCCGAGATGTCATGCACAAAGAGCTTGAGAGACATGGAGGTATCTGTGACTGTCAAGCATCCCGTGACACCACTGTCTATGCCACCAGTGCAGATTCTAGAGGTTTGGGAGCTATCACTCAGGTAAAATAATGTTTTCAGAAAGATTTTAATAAGCAAACTTATTATAGACTGTTCTGGATACTTCACTACAAAGACTCGACTGCTAAAGTTGTCTATTTCTTTTGTTTATCACAATGTTGTCTGTATTTTATCTTCTAGGTTTTGGCTGAAGTGACAATGAGACCACAGCTTTCTTCAGATGAAATAGAGTCAGCAAGACAAGCTGTTGCTTTTGAACTGGAGACTCTGTCCATGCGGCCTGAACAAGAGAACATATTGATGGATATGATTCACAGTGTGAGTTTAGAGATTGTTGAAATTTATAAAATTGATTTAAATAGCAATTATTTGTCATTTGAATTGTATAAACAATGACCATATTAATTTATTTTGTATTACAGGCTGCATACAAAGGAAATACACTTGGTCTACCTAAGATCTGCCCCAATAATAATGTTAATAAAATTGACCGCAACATTATCCTGAACTACCTCAAGAACCACTACACACCTGATAGGATGGTGGTTGCAGCTGTTGGTGTAAGTGGTATTACAAAAACCTTTTTTATATGAAAAAGAAAAATAACATGGTATTAATATAAATACCCACTTTTTGCCCTCAAAATATTGATTAAATTTTCAGTTTATTTTAAGTAACAGTTTAGCCTCTTGTGCATAATATTAGTTGATTGATAGCCACAGCACAATAATCTTACGGCCAGCCAGCCAGTTTATTTTCTATAATATTTTTTATTCTAACAAAATGGTTATGTTAGGATTTAGCCACAGGACCACTGTCATACTTATCAGTTAAACTTTTTTAATGTTGACTTACTATTTTTAGGTGGACCATGAACACTTTGTGGAATTTGTCCAAAAATATTTTGTGGATATGAAGCCCACTTGGCATGTTGATGAAGCATTCACACCTAATGTTGATTGCTCCATCGCACAATACACTGGAGGAATAGAACAGGTAAAACTTGAAAATATTTAGTTTTGGTGACAAAAATACGAGTTCTCTTGTCATGTCTCTGATGTTACTTAAATAATCAATGTTTCAGGATGATTGTGAAATTCCTTTGTATCCAGGATCTGATTTACCAGAATTAACTCATATTGTTATTGGATTAGAAAGTAAGTACTATTGTATTACTTTTCATGAATATTCATTAATTTCCGTGAATAAACTTTAAAAATTCATGTGATAGCTAACTAGTATAATGTTTGTCAATACTCTTCTGAGGGTGTTGTTATGGTGGATCCCCAACGCATGACGGCACGAGCCGTCGGCCATGCCGCCGGCTTTGTGTGCGACATTCGCAACAAAGCCGGCGGCCTTTTTGTCGGCGATGACGCCGGTAGCGGGGCAACAGTTTGATCACGGCTTTCGATAAGAGTGGTATTGTGTAAAATTACTGATTTCCATGACTTTCTGACATGAAAACTCTTGAAGCATTCTGGGAACATTACGCTTATTTCGTAGACTTCTCATTCAAAATCTTCTTTTTCTACTTTTTTTCTTTTGATACAGAATGTAGGTACACCAAAATTGCGGCAGCAATTGCGATATTATCGACCATTTATGTTACCAGTACCTATCTGCTTAGGCTTCTTACTTCATCGAAAGTCACAAGACAACTGAGAATATCTATTCACAGCCGAGCTTTGCTTGTCGTCAAACCGCCGGCAGTGCCACTGGACTATGTGGATCCACCATAAGAGCTAACTATGGGACTTGTACTACTTGACTTGTAACCTAACTGTTAAGATTTAAAGGCTTCTTCTTTAGCAGTAAATAGTAACATTCTTGTGTTATTTATTCTAGGTTGTTCACACAGTGACCCTGATTTTGTGCCAACATGTGTGTTGAACATGATGATGGGTGGTGGAGGCTCATTCTCAGCTGGTGGCCCTGGCAAGGGAATGTACACACGTCTTTACACTAATGTCCTGAACAGGTAGATTGTTATTATAATTTTATATCACCAAAATAGAAACCAAAGAAAAATACTACTTCTAATAATAATATAGTCTTCTACACTCTGTCAACTCCGTAGTGAAGTAGTATTTATGGCAAAAGATGCGCTACCTATTGTATGTGTACTCAAGGTGGCGAAACATCAACAACATTAATGTATCAAGGAATATAAGTGATTTTTTTTCTTTAGATATCACTGGATGTTCAATGCAACAGCGTACAATCACGCATATAGCGACACGGGACTGTTTTGCATCCACGCTGCCTCACCTCCTAACCGCATTTATGACACTACACTGGTAATTGCACGAGAACTTGCAAACATGGCTGGCAAAGTTGGTGAAACAGAACTACGGGTAAGATTTAACAACATTTCCTTTGAAAATATTGTTTTTACAAAAATAATTTCAATGACAGATGGGCTAATTATTTAAAATGTACAATTTATTTCAGAGGGCAAAAACTCAGCTACAGTCCATGTTATTGATGAATTTAGAAGCAAGGCCAGTCGTCTTTGAAGATGTCGGCCGACAAGTACTTGCGACAGGCAAGAGAAAGCCACCATCATTCTTTATGAACGAAATTGGTAAGTATTGTCTATGTTCAGCCAGATTTACACATGTAATGAATTTATTAAGATTTTCGAATAATTTTAAATTACTCTGGGGCTTATCATGAACTATTTTTTTTTCTCTAGAAAAAACAACAAGTGAAGATATAATTCGTGTTGCACAACGAATGTTGAATACCAAGCCAGCAGTAGCAGCTCGGGGTAAACTCGCACACCTTCCCACTTATGATGAAATCCAAGCCAACATTTCTACTGTCAAAAGTGATACAAGCAAAGGAAGAAAACTTAATCTGTTTCGTGCTTAGCTAATACATTAGTACACTATGTATCTGGAATTAATGTACTGTAGTTTTAAATTATCAATAAAGATATTCATTTTTTAATTAAAAGACTATGTTTCTTTGTGCTATAATTATATTACGAACTATATACAAAACATTATATAACATAATTCATAGCAATACATTTGATTTACATAAACACAAGTACTTAAGTACTAGAATTTCTAATTTTATTAGCAGGTTAGAACAAAAAGTCAGTCTTCTAAAATTATGTATTTTTTAGTCAGTGGTAAGGTAATGTACAATGTAAGTACACATATTTACAGTATTCTAGGTATTTTTTCCTACAATATTTACGTTTCTTGTTTGGTTCTAATTCTTTGTTTGTAGACAGGCTACTACTTGTAAAACTCCCTATAAATGGAACTAATTCTTCAGTTTAAAATACTATTCTTTATGAACAACATTATTTTTTGGCTCCTTAAAAAACCACACAAATCATATTCAATACTGCATTGAGTATGCACATTTTTTAAATTTGGAACAGCTTGTTGCATTGAAATGTAAATCAAAGAATTGTCTATGCAATTTTTCAATTTATCATTTTTCTTACTTTCCGAGGTTAACTACTGTTTTAGCTGCCTGATCAACATCCTGGACGATTTTAAGAGGAAGACCCGAGTTTTCAAGCAGCTCTCTAGCTGCATCCGAGTTTGTTCCTTCCAATCTGATGACTAGAGGATGTTTAGGAGGATTCTCCTTGCATGCTGTGATGATACCCTGCGCAATTGTAAGGCAATTGACTATACCTGAAAGAAAAAAAGACATGGCATGAGATCCAATCTCATAAAATAAAAAAAGAGACTCAGCTGATTAGCCAATTTAACTTACCACCAAACACATTGACAAAGATAGACTTCACTTTAGGATCTGATTCCAAGATCCTCAGTGCAATTGATACTTGTTTTGGTCCAACACCACCACCAAGATCCAAGAAGTTGGCTGGCTTCCCTCCATTTAGAGTGATGATGTCCATAGTGGCCATGGCTAGTCCTGCTCCATTGACCATGCATCCAATACTGCCATCCATATCAATGTACACCAAGTTATGTGCAGCAGCTTCTCTCTATAAATGTTAAAAGCCAGTAGGTAAATGTTGTTATTATTATACATATAAATCTTCTCTTAAGTGTCCTCCTAACTAACTCCTAAAGTCCTAAGTAACAAACATTTTTTTTTTAAAACCACATCAAAATCGGTTCAGCCAATCATGAGATCATCATGCACAAACATATAGGTGAAACTGGAATAACATTGTTTGAAAAGAGTTCTTCAAAATTGCGTAATAATTATGTACTTGCTGCATCAAGTTTATCTTATATCTACAGATAGGAAATTCCTATCCTTTTCAGCTAAATTTTTATAAGGATGAATTTTTATTTCAGTAGGTTGTTATGTAACTCAAAATAATATTATATATATATATAATATGATAAATAAATAGTAATTGATGATAGTACATTTTTGAATGCAAGCCCAGCCCAGTAAACTTTTACAGTACTTCATCCAAAACCATTATCTCAAGTTGAAAATAGCAACAAGACAAAAAATATGATAGCAAAGGTTATAGTGATAAGGCAGTGATAAAAACAAATACCCATTATTTACACCAAGTACTTGAACAATGATAAATTGAATGTCAACATGAAAATTTAGTAGGTTATTGCTATTCCCATTAAGTAATGATCATTTTTATTAATGTCCTTGCTTTAAGTTAATCATCTGTTGACATTTAAACAGAATATTTAGAATAAATGTATAATGTTTTTGTATGTTTAAAGTCTTTAATAATAATGATTTTAACACCCACGATCGTCTATAATGAGACTGTACATTCCGCGTAAATGTGGGGGGCGAGGCTTTTTAAATGCAAAAACCCTCCACAATAGTGAAGTGTGCAGTCTCCGAAAGTATTTTTTGAAAATGGACGTGGGGATGCATAGAGATGTTGTCGCTGTGGACAAAGGGCTTACTCCGCTCTCCTTGGCTAACGAGAACTGGAGAGAACCTATAATACTAAGCACTAATGATCGCAGGAATGTGTGGCAAAGTAAGGAGTTGCACGGACGCTACTATCGAGCCTTACATGGGCCAAATACGGATTTCTTAGCGTCCGTATCCTGGCTACGTTTCAGTAACTTATTTGGAGAAACGGAAGGTTTTGTCTGTGCAATTATGGACGAAGTTATGATGACGAACAATTATCGAAAATATATTATAAAGGATGGAACTGTTGACATTTGTCGGGCATGTCATCATCCCGGGGAATCCATCCGGCATATAATTTCGGGTTGTTCTCACTTAGCTAATGGAGAATACTTGCATAGACATAATCTTGTAGCCAGGATTATTCATCAACAACTTGCTTTGAAATATAAACTTGTAGAATCTGAAGTGCCGTATTATAAGTATCTGCCTGACCCAGTTCTTGAAAATGGAGATGTCACACTGTATTGGGATCGAACTATCATCACAGACAGGACAATTGTTGCAAACAAACCTGACATTGTGGTGATAGATCGACCAACCCGTCGCACAATGATAGTTGATATAACAATCCCACATGACGAGAATCTAGTGAAAGCTGAAAAAGATAAAGCAAGTAAATATCTTGATTTAGCTCATGAGATTGTCGACATGTGGGATGTGGATTCAGCAGTCATTGTGCCGATAGTCGTATCTGCCAATGGCCTCATTGCTAAAAGCCTCAACCAACATCTGAGTAGGCTAGCGTTAGATGGTTGGGTCAAGGGCCTGATGCAGAAAGTAGTACTTCTGGACATGGCGCGTATTGTTCGGAAATTTCTTTCTCTGGAGCCCTGACCGCTTGGCCTTAGCTTGGATTTCTCCCGTTACCGGTGGGCTAGTGCTTTTTATATTTTTAAATGTTTTTTTTTTTTTACATATAATGAAATATTTAAAAATATTTAAATCAAGTATGAAAATAAATAAAGGGAATAATGATTTTAATAATAATTGCTTAATAAGATTAAAATAGACACTTCAAACAATATGATAGAATTATATGTGTTTTATTATTGTAATCCAGCAACATTTACTGTTCATACTATTTGTACATTTTTTGTAACTTACCTCTTTAGGATCACTCTCGGTTACATCATCAAGGGCGAAAATGTCTTTTTGCCTGAAGCTAGCATTGTCATCAAAGTTCAGCTTAGCATCCACAGAGATAACTCTACCATCATCTGTCTCTACTAGAGGGTTAATCTCTAGCTGAGTAGCATCCACCTGGACATAGAAATAACCAAATAAATATTATTAGAGTTCAAATTGAATGTAGCTGATTAGTTTTGAAATACATACACTTAGAAACAATTGCCAAAGTTTTTGCACTTCTGAAGCACACTTTGCTTTAAGTTCCCCTTTAAATTCCAAAAACTCTGCAACTTCATTAGCCATCTTGTCTGTGATACCCTCATAGATATCAATAGGTAGGGTTTTAATAAGATGTGGGGTTTTCTCTGCCACTGCTTCAATGTCCATACCCCCAGCAGGGGAGGCCACAATAGCAGCACCATTGTAGGACCTCTCCATCACTATGCTGAAGTATGTCTCCCTCTTAATGTTAACACTCTCTGCCACCATCACTTTGTCTACCAGTATTCCTTCCTTGGGTGTTTGTTTTGTGATCAACTTGTGTCCAATCATATTTTTAGCTAGTTTGAAAACTTCATCGCGATTTTTGGTCAGGTGAACTCCTCCTTTAAAACCATTGTCGAAATGTCCTTTACCGCGTCCACCAGCTAAGATCTGCGCTTTGACAACATACTCATCAGCTTTAAAATCCGCCAAGGGTTTAGTGTCCAGTTTAGAATCAATTACTCGAAAGTCTTGAATAGAAACCTGAAACTTCCTCAACAAGTCCTTACTGTGGAATTCTTGTAGATTTAAGTTTCTTCTAGCTGTGAGTTGGGGGCAATATCTAGGTACTAAACCGGTAAGGAGTTTAAGATTTTTTGTTTTCTTTAACGCAGCCATAGCGAACTTTGTCCAGAGTCCAGTTATACAAATTAACCTATACAACACTTGATTATTGTCGATATGTAGAATAATTTGATGATTTAGATCACTTCACCATCAATACTTGAAGAAACCAGTTATTCTAGTAGGCGAATCAGCTGAATAATAATTATCGACAGCAGCGGCGCTAATTTTGCGCTAGCGCAAGCACTGTGTTTTGTGAAATGTGAACCGAACGAAACGAATGGATTGGATTGGGGATTGAATTGAGGATTCTAGTTAATGATAGACAACTGACATGTAAGTGATAATAGTGAATAATGATAAGAAATGACATTGACAAGTCAAATTGTGTTTGTCAGTCGTTGTCTTGTCAAAAGTTAATAGTGTACTGCTTTTTTTTTTCTTTTTTTTTAAGGGGAGAAAATCATCGAATGACTGCTTGGGTGAGGCGGGAGGGAGTGTCATACTCTTACTGACTAAAAACCACCCCGTTCCTTCTCCTGCACGTCGAGCCGGAGCCCCGGTTACCCGTTAGGTTCTCCGCGACAATAGTGTACTGCTAGAAGTGTAAATCGCAGTTGTACCTATGTACATGTTTTTTTTAAAAATAAATTCTTGCTTTTTATTGAAATAAGTAACAATTCTTGTTATTGTTAACAAAATGTCTAGTAATATTATGGCTGTATGCTCAAAATAGATAAAAACTCTTAAATCATTTTCATAAAGCAACCACATTTCAGCTCAATTTTAAATAAAATTTACTAATCGTGATTACTAAAACCCATTATAATAATAATAAATAATAATAATAAAAATATTATAATAATATAATAATAATAATAATAACACACCTTATTATAAGTACACACCAGAAAACGTATTAGAAAATACCACACACAAACTATACTACGATCGAGCCATTCTAACAGACAGAACCATCCACTACAATAGACCAGACATAACCCTACGAGATAAAATAAATAATATTACATACTTAATAGATATTGCAGTCCCAAATACACACAATTTACTAAAAACTATTGGAGAGAAAATAAGTAAATATGCTGAATTAAAAGAAGAAGTCGCTAGGATATGGAGACAAGAAAA